GAGGGACAGCAGGTCACTCTGACCTGCACTGCTCCTGGTCTCTGCTCTGGGTCTCCTCCTAACATCACCTGGATGTGGAGAGGAAAAGGAGAGAACGACTCTTTCATCAAAGGAAACATCACTGCTTTAAAAACAGAGAATCTGACTGCTGTCACACAGAGACACAGTTCAACTCTGTCCTTTAACCCTTCAGCTAAGCACAACAACACCAATGTAATCTGTAAGGTCAGCTTCCCTGGTAACATAACCAGAGAAGAGTCAGTTTCTCTGAACGTAAGCTGTAAGTATGTTCTTTATCTTAGTGAGATTCAATGTTTTTTTCAATTTTATAAATATGAAGTGTAAAATATCTATACCACTGCTATAAGATAAGTTACAAACACATCTGCTTACAGTGTTGGCAAAAATCCTGAAAGGCTCTGGGTGTGTGCAACATATGTTAACCTGTGTATGCATCAGTGAGGGGTTTCCTTCACCCACCATCACATGGCCACTATTATGTTGACGACAGAGTACTCTGCCACACAAGAGGAACACTGTTGTCAACATGGTGTCAAACTACACTGTCAACAGCAACAATTTCTCTTAGAAACCCTGGCAACATCAGTGTTGAATGATTTAGCAGCAATGAAAATTGGGAAGTCAAAGAAAACCTAATGGTGCATCGAGAGCTGTCAGAAGAAGGTACAACGTCCTCGTGTCTGGCATGTTAATTTCCTCTTTCTAGATCAGAAACAGTGTGCTTTATGTATAATTTTGTAATGTTTGGGCAGATTCGGATATCAAAACAAAACATTACATTTAAAATTACGTTTGAGTTCATTTCAAATCAACTTTTTAAGCTTTTAAGCTAAGTATTCAAACCCTTCATTCAAACTCTGCTCCACAGAAACCAGAATTCACATGTATTTCTGTCATTTTACAGCTCATGAGAAACATGTTTCTGTTTCGGAAGTTCTTTCCTGGGTCATTGCTGGTGTTTCACTCAGTGTGCATGTTTTATGTATGATCTACATTTGTTACTTTCGGTAAGTTACATGATGTTTATTTCATGCTTTTCAGGCCAAATTATAGTTTATGGGCTATACAGTTGAAATAACGTGTTTCTTTTCTTCAAAGCAAAACAAGAAAAAAACCAAAACTCACTGAACATGATACAGCAGCAAAATATGTCCATCGACCACGCTAACATGTCTCCAGAGATCGCTCTCACTTGGATCTTACATAAAGAAAACCATATGTATATTTTAAATCAATTTTAGTATTTTACATGCAAAAGAGGAGTGGATTTATGTTTTCTAGAAAATAAAAAAAAATTATTTGATCCACAATTGCAAAATACAAAGAAATAGTAACGGTCTCTAGATAAGAATAAGATATATAATATAACAAGAATGATGCATTGCATAGGTTTGTTTTTCTGGAGTGCAGTTCTTCATTAAATAAAGATGGATGAAAGAGATCTATGGTTGGTCAGTTTATTTCTCGCCAGTACGGAAAACAGACCATCACCCCACTGGGATCTGCTCTGCTTTGAAGACACAGAGTGGAGTTGCACACATACACATCTTCTTTCTTGCAGAAAGAAAAAAAACACACACACTTCCTCTAATATGACCTCCTTAACCTTCCTTAAAGGAAGGAACAAACATTTTAGATAAAGAGTGCACACATTCAAGTGAGAAAGCCGTTGGCCATAGATGTGAACACTTTCCATAAGTTTATAGAATAAAATTCCTCTACAGTTTGCTAATTTATTTGTGGTTCCTTTGCTCTTTTCCTCTCTTAGGTTGGGCAATTGAAATCAAATATATTTTTTTCTATTTTATTTTACCTCAAATAAGACGCTAAATGCAAATGGTAGACCACTAAGTTCAACAATGTCTGTGAATTAAAGGCATTAAAACAACGTTATGAAAGTTGCTAAGTAGCCTTAGCCACAGATAAAAAAGCAAAGCTTCAACATACGTCCAAACCAACTTCCCCATTCTTAACGGTACAGAAACAGGAAGAGCTATAGAAAGAAGACAAGAAAGGAGTTTCACCTTCATTGAAGAGATTAACTGAAGATGAAACAGAGGTAAATAAAACTTTGATTAATGCAAAGCTTTACCCCACATTATAGACTGATAAACAGTACTTTCTTGCTGAATGAAATGAAGTTAACAATATAATGATTACAAATATAAATATTCATATTTATATGCATTCGTGTTTACTGAAAAGTCACAATTGACTAACAAGCAAGATTTATCTTAAACATTCTTCAAAGTAGTTATGCTGTCAGTAAATAAAATCCAGTTTGGAAATTCTATACGAAAATCAACATTATGTCTGAACTTTGTTTTGATTCAGTTTCAGTATTTTTCTGAAACTCCTGTGTAAAAGTTTCTTACCTGTTTGGAATGGACTGAATATGTCAAGCTTCAAATCTGGGACGCTTGTTTTCATCTGGTTAACCACGTCTTTCCCTACGTTCATTGGTAATGTATGAATCCTGTCATTTGTAAACATAAATCAATACTAAAAGCAAATATGCTGAATGTATCTTTGCTTGTTATAATATTCATTGGAAATCCTTAAAAGGTTATTATTGCTTTCACAAATGTGCAAATAAATACAGTTTTTTGTATTATGTGCAGACATTAAAATAAAAATATGTAATAATTAGTATTTGAAAATGTCTTTTAATCACCATGTTGTTTATATAGACGATGACTAACAATTAGCTTTTATTAGGGATAAACTATCATTATTTTGATCTCTTTTCATTTGTTTGAAATAATAAAAAAAAAAATTACTTGTTTTTCTTACTAACAGATGCATTGCAAAGGGAAAAGTTCTGTCAACATGAAGGTTTTTGTGTTACTTTCAATGAGGGCGAAATAAAAGCAGAAGTTGGACTCTGTGCTGTGATACCATGTGCTTTCACATCTCTCTTTGCACCCGAATATATTATTTGGTATAAATGTGAACCACTTGAGGCCAAATGTGACAATTCTGACCCTGTATTTCACTCTGGCAAAAACAAAGAAAACATTCAGCCTGAGTACGAAGGTCGCATGTCACTGCTGAACCTGAACATGACTCAGAAGAACTGCAGCATCATGATCAACGATCTTAAGAAATCTGATTCTGGATGGTATCAGCTCCGAGTTGAGGGAAAAGAAACAAAAGATGCATATACATATCTTGCAAAAGCAAATCTCTCCTTAACAGGTAGGAAAAATTCCAGTATACAATTACCACATCAGATTACTAGACTTAATGAAGCAAATTAATGATTTTATCATTTTTATTATTGTCAGATTGTTGAAACTTTATTGTTGACAAAACTGCCATTTCATCTTGTATTACAAAATAAAGGAAATATTTAGTCAATCTGTCTTGTCCAGATCACACTGATACTATTTTTTGATGATTAATTCAGTGATCTGTTTCCATCAGGTCTGAGCCAAAAGCCCTCAGTGATGATTCCTCCACTGACTGAGGGACAGCAGGTCACTCTGACCTGCACTGCTCCTGGTCTCTGCTCTGGGTCTCCTCCTAACATCACCTGGATGTGGAGAGGAAAAGGAGAGAAAGACTCTCACATCATAGGAAACACAACTGCTTTAAAAACTGAGAATCTGACTGCTTTCACACAGAGACACGTCTCAACTCTGACCTTTAACTATTCAGCTGATCACCACAACACCAGTATAACCTGTAAGGTCAGCTTCACAGGCGGCATAACTACAGAAGAGACTGTGACTCTGAATGTGACATGTGAGTACCTTATTATCTTTTAACTCTTATTGAAGATGCTTTTTAATTAAAACTTAGCAACATTTGCTCAGACATGCCCCTCTTTTATATTATGCTTATTTTTTTATATCATTTATTATTTATATCTCATAGATGGGAAGGAAATTCAAATAACTGGGAATTCTATTAAGGGGATAGGGAGATTCTGAATGTGATCTGTAGTTTTGACAGTTTCCCTTCTTCAATTACCAATGGAGTATTTTATTTAGTATTTCTAATGTGACGGCAAACGTTTCTAAGGCTTTCATTTGTGCAGCAAAATATCTGATTATCATCCTGAAAAAATATTTTTGTTTAGATAACTAAATCTAAACAAAATGCCTTTGAGATTAGACTCTTCAAGGCATTTTTAATGAATTATATACTGGTCGGTAATTAGGCCAATGTTCTTTTGATATGTTCTTGTTGTGTTTGCTTTACTCAGAGCTAAAATATTTTTGTTTAATTTTGTTTTACAGATTTAAGAAAACCTCAGATTTCTGGCAGAGCAACAGTTAGAGAGGGAGATGATCTGAATCTGACCTGCAGTGTAGACAGTTTTCCTCCCACTGTTATTGGCTGGAGTAAATCTACAAAACAAGCTGAACACCAGAGCCACAATCTAACCAAAGTGCATGGCCGCCATGAAATCTGTCATCAGGACACGAGTACAATTTTCTTGTTTTCCATCACTAATGTGACAGCAAAAGATGCTGGACTTTACATCTGCACAGCAAAATACCCGAACTACACTCTGAGAGAAGAAATTAATGTAACAGTGAAATGTGTGTAGAATCACTGTTTCTCAAGCAGTTTTATACAATTATCTAAGTTTCAGCCTCACATGTTTTGTTCATTCATTACAGAGTGTTTAACCCTTTTCTTTAATCTGTGCTCCACAGATGTTAGAAAACCTCAGATCTCTGGCAGAACGACAGTCATGGAGGGAGACGATCTGAATCTGACCTGCAGTGTGGACAGTGTTCCTCCATCAGTTATTAAATGGACTAAATCTGGAGCAAAAGCACATTGCCAGGACAATATTTTCAGCAAAGTCGATAACAGCACAGTCGTCTACCTGCAGGAAAGTGCACATGTCTCTTTTTCAGTCATGAATGTAACCGTAGAAGATGCTGGACGTTACATGTGTACAGCGACTTATCAGGATGACAGCATGACAGAAGAAATTCATGTTAAAGTGAACTGTAAGTAAGTCAAATTTATATGCTTCCTTAATTCGTGAGACATGTTTAATTCAAACTGTGCTCCACAGAAACCCCAATTCACCAGTATTTCTGTATTTTACAGTTAATCATGTGAAACACTGTGCGTGTGGCGGTGGAGCTCTTCCCTGGGTCGTTGCTGGGGTTTCACTCAGTGTGCATCTTTTCTCTATGATCTACTTGTACCACGTTTGGTAAGTTACATTTTGTTTATTTTATGCTTTCCAGGCCCAATTACATGAAGTAGGATGTACTTTTGTAACAACTAAGTTTTCCTTTTCTTCATAGGAACACAAGAAAAAAGGCTGAACCCATGGACGATGATCAAATTTATATGTGCATGCAAAAAACCAGTGCATCAGCATAGTATAATGTTATTGTTCAACGACCGCACTGACATGTTGTGGTCAGGGATTAGTGTCAATTGGATGCTACATGCTGAAACTATATTCATATCATTACTGTGTTAGACACAATAAGAACAGGGGGTGTATGTTTCCTGGAGAAGATACAATTGTTAAAAATACAGACATAGTAATTGTCTTAGCATGAGAATAAGACTAATCATAAATACATATTCATAAATACATATTATAAGGATCTTCCAATTTATGTGAAATTATTTTTTGTTCCCCCTTCTAGTTTTCATTACTGAAGTTATATTGTTTATTTTTAGTTTTTTAGAGTATATTTAAATCATTAAATATTTATATTCTTTAAATATGTATTGTCATGTCTATATATGCGTAAACAAGTTATCTTCCTTAAAATGCAAGATTATCCTTTATAACTTACATTTAAATTTTAATGGGGTTTTTCTGTCTCATTTTACATGACATGGTGTATGAGCACTAGGAAATAGTTTTTCTAATATAAATTACGGATAAAACATTATGCAGTTGTTGATGCTCTAGTATAATATATTAAAGATAATTTAATATGAGTTATGAACTGAGGAAGCAGGGAAAAAAGGAGGTGGTTGAGTTGGGCCAGTGCACAGTATAAACACTCATATCAGAAGTAAGATCTACACAGAACTTCAACACAAATATTAGTGTAGAATTAAAAATAACCTTTAAAGTAACAAGTTAAAGCATGTAGTTTCACACAAAGATAAAGGAAACATTCAAACAGAAAGTAAAAATCAAGCTGTACAAAAAGAGCAAACTTACAGCATGAAGTTATACTGTACAAGTTTCATTAACAGCATAATCAGATTCAAAGAAATGCACAGTTGTGTAGGGAAATAAAAAATATAAAATGTGCATGTACATTTCTGCATAAGCAAACAACAACATACTATTTACAAAAAAATGGAAAAATTATAACAGCAGCAATGTAAAGACTTTAGAATAAAGAGATGGTTATAAAGTTTAACAGCTGCTCGGAGGAACTACGAATACAGTAAAGCTCTTTTGTGCACCAAGGATGCAGCAGTCACTGAATGAGCTCTTTAGTTCTGCAACAGTTTCATGCCTGGGCACGGAGATGTTATTCACAACATTTTATTATTAGCAGTAACCTCTACCAGTACATATATCCATATATGGCAACCTACAGCTTTGACTGACTTTAAACGTCAGGCTCTTGTCTTAAAAATAGTTAGAGGCCTTGCGATAAAAATCTGTTATCAGAAACTAAGCTGGTCTTTCTTTAGAGCCTATGAAACCACTTCCTATAGGTGCTAATGAGCAGCTTCCCCAACACACTACAGGAGACAGCGGATGGCATCATCGAGTAAAAAAATGTTTTTAATACACAAAATGTTAGAAGTTTTTCTTCCATAATTACTGAGATTGAGCTAGTAATTAACCTTTTTTTGCCACAGGAGAAATCAGTTACAATTGGATAAAAATAAATAAATAAAATGAACAATGTGCAGTTCTTAACAGACATTTTACTTAAAGAAGCTGAGTAAAACTAAACAATGCAAATTATATATTTTTGTTGTTTGACTGAATTTTTCCCTTATTTACATAAATGACAAAGATGTTCTACACATGCAGATGTTATATGAATACGCCAGGAAAAATATACCAGTAAAAACAATAAATGAGACAAAAAAAAAATTAACAAAAAAATTAAAAAAAACTTGTTGCACAAGAGTCAAAAATGCTTAAAATCGACCTAAAATGTTTAAAGTTTAGATTTCTTGTTTGGCTATTTAGTTGTGTGTGAATGGGCCACGACAAAATTTCATAGAGTCAGACCAAATGGAGAACCTATTGACACTCATCAAAATATATTTATTTTTATGTACAAAACAAAATGTCTCTACTACACAAGAAAAAAGTCAGTCCCAAAACTTCGTTTACATACTTGTTCCTGAGGGGGGCAGCATTGTGGCAGGAGAGTCGACACTGGATTATCAGATTAAACCTACAGGAAATTGATGCTGTCACCCTCTCTACCTCAAACCTGCAGAAAGGTGGGGGAAGCTGTTGGTAATGTATATATGAATGTAACGTTTTCTTTTACCAGGTGAGTCTCATTGAGATAAAAAAAAAAAAA